GACCCAATTGTTGTTAGATTGCAACACGTCTCTCGTCTCTCTTCTGACCCTTCGTGCCCCGCCTCAGGATCACGATACCCGATACCCGCCAGCACTTAGCGATGACAGGCGGGTACTCCAAGGTGTGGAAGGATTCGGTAGAATGATCCCTTCCTAACAAGCAGTCCTATCGTGACAGAGATATTGCTTTAGATGGTTATATTTATCCGTGTATTAGTCGTTCGTATAGTTGTATTGCTTGAGGATTTAGTGAAAGAAACAACAAAAAAGGAAATATCAAGCTACCGAATTCAAAATCATGTAAACAAATACACCTCTTCATTCCTCAAAATAGTCAGCCTATCTTAAGAATACAAAACTGTTAAATCTATGATTAGTTGTTCATGATTAAGAGATATTAATAGTCGGCCTATCTTAAATATACAAAACATCTGTTGAAACATATGATTAGTTGTTCATAATTAAGAGATATTCTGTTTTTTTTTTTCTCTCTCTCTCCAGGAATACATCAAGCAGCACCAGAAGACGTTGGACCCAGACAACCCACGTGACTACATTGATGCTTACCTGCTGGAGATGGAAGCTCGCAAGGACGACCCGCAGTCCAACATGAGCAGTGAGATATTAGTCCAGGTTTTGCACTCGTCTCTTTCTATTCTTTCCTCTCTTTGTATCTATTTCTCTTCTCTTTTCTCTCTTTTCTTTCTGTTCTCTCTCTCTCTCTCTCTCTCCTCTCTCTCTCTCTCTCTCTCTCTCTCTCTCTCTCTCTCTCTCTCTCTCTCTCTCTCTCTCTCTCTCTCTCCTCTCTCTCTCTCTCTAATATGACTTCATTCTGTTTTCTCTCGTTCTCTCTCTCTCTTTCATTATGTCTCTCTCTCTCTCATTCTGTCAATCTCTCGCTCCTATTCTCTCTTTTCCCTCCTCTCTCTCTCTCTCTCTCTCTCTCTCTCTCTCTCTCTCTCTCTCTCTCTCTCTCTCTCTCTCTCTCTCTCTCTCTCTCTCTCTCTCTCTCTCTCTCTCTCTCTCTCTCTTCTCTCTCTCTCTCTCCCTCTCCCTCTCCCTCTCCCTCTCCCTCTCCCTCTCCCCTCTCCCTCTCCCTCTCCTCTCTCTCTCTCTCATTCTCTCTCTCTCTCTTCTCTCTCTCTCTTCTCTCTCTCTCTCTCTCTCTCTCTCTCTCTCTCTCTCTCTCTCTCTCTCTCTCTCTCTCTCTCTCTCAGAGCGTGTATTTTTTTTATCATGAGGTTCCATTGCTACTCTGAGCAACCGTTTTATCCTCTGTTTTTTTCTCCCTGCCAGTTTTCGACCTGAAGAACTGCATGGCCGACCTGTTCACTGCCGGCAGCGAGACCACGGCCTCCACGATCCGTTGGGCCATCTACTACCTGGCCAAGTACCCTGAGATCCAAGCCAAGGTGCACAAGGAGATCGACTCGGTGGTTTCCAGAGACGTCCTTCCGTCCATACAGCAGAAGAACAGGTAATCATCCGTTTTCAAGTTCTCAGATCCGTTTCAAATCGTTTCAGATGGCAAACGTCGTTTCAGATCGTTTTTTTGTTTTTGTCGTTTCAGATGGCAATTTGAAAAGATTGTCTACGTTTCAGATGGCAACGTTTTTGTCGTTTTTTGTTGTTTTGTTTTTTCGTTTTCTACAGGTTGCTAAAAGGCTATAGAGTGATCTGCACTTAGATAGAGAGTGATCATCGTTATGTATTTGCTAAACAGAATTGCCCATGATAATCCTGGGTAGATTTGTCTCGATATTTGTTATTTCATTTTATTTCTCTAAATTGCAATAAACTTGATGAAATAATTATTACTTTCGTAGTGTCTGGCGTACAAAGGACAAGTATCAATCAACGTATTAATCTTCTTCTGTGAGATTAAGTACATACGAGAAAAAGACACATTACCCTCGCTTTTTGTCAATCAAAATGTTTTTATATCCCATACCATTTGCACCAACTTTATCCTTTTCGTCATATTTATCTCTTCTCAGTGTACACATTCCCCTCGCTTTTAGTCATACAAATTTATCCCTACTTTATACCATTTATACCAACTTTTTATCCGATCCTTCGTCAAATTCTTTTTGTACCAACTCTTTATTCTTATTTTTTTCATTATTTTACCCTCTTCACAGTGTACACATTCCCCTCGCTTTTACTCATACAAAATGTATCCCTACTTTTATCCGATTCTCCGTCAAATGAACTTTTTGTACCAACTCTTTATTCTTTACTATTTTACCCTCTTCACAGTGTACTTTTATACCAACTTTTATCCGATATTTCGTCAAATTCTTTTTGTACCAACTCTTTATTCTTTACTATTTTACCCTCTTCACAGTGTACACATTCCCCTCGCTTTTAGCCATACAAATTTATCCCAACTCCATACCATTTATACCAACTTTTTATCCAATTTTCCGTCAAATGAACTTTTTGTACCAACTCTTTATTCAAATTTTCACTATTTGACCCTCTTCACAGTGTACACATATGGAAATTTATCCCTACTCCATGCCATTTATACCATCTTTTTTCATCCAATTTTCCGTCAAATGACCTTCTCTACAGCTTACCATACCTCGAAGCTGTGACGCTGGAAATCCACCGACTGGCATCTCTCCTGCGCGTTGGTCTCGTCCACAGCTGTAACAAGGACACTAAGTTCGGTGATTATGTCATCCCTAAAGTAAGTGTAATTGTTTGTTGTTCTTAATTAGTCTTGTTGGTTGTTGGTGATTCAGTGTAACAATGGCGATCTGATGAATTATAGTTTTTTCTTTTGAAATGCGAAAGGAGATTTAGGGAGGTATTTTTTTCTAGTCTATTATTTAAGCATTACCCAATTTACTCCTTAGCATGACTCAATTTTCTTTAAAACATTACTGAATCTACTCTTTAAGCATAACCAATTAACTCTTATCATATTTACTCTTTAAGCATCACCACTTGACCCAATTTACTCCTTAACCGTTGCCCAGTTTCCTCTCTAAGCATTACCCAATTTGCATTATGTAATTCTCTTTAAGAATGACCCAATTTGTTCTTCCAGTATTATCGAATTTCCTCTTCAACCATTACCCAAATTAATCATCCAGTATGGTGCAATTTCCTGTTTAGACATTAACTCTTTCAGCATTACGCAATTTACTCTTTAAACATTAATTCTTTAAGTGTTGTGTAATTTACTCTTTTAAACATTAACCCTTTCAGAATTATCCAATTTACTCTTTAAACATTAAATCTTTAAGCATTATGTATTTTCCTCTTTAAACATTAGCTCTTTCAGCATTACCCAATTTACTCTTTAAACCTATTTAAGCATTATGCATTTTCCTCTTTAAACATTAGCTCTTTCAGCATTACTTACTTTACTCTTTAAGCATCACCCTCTTACCACTCTCTCAACAGGGAGCAGTCTTGTCGGCGCTGCAAGAGGGCTGCCACTCGGACCCCGCCTACTGGGAGAAGCCCTACGATCTCTACCCCGAGCACTTCCTCGACGCCGAAGGGAAGGTCCTCACCAAGAAGGAGGGCTTCCTGCCGTTCTCCCTGGGTGAGTCTGGGCTTCAGGGGGATTCCCGGCTGATGGGTTTAGACTGTACGAGGCTCGACCCAGTGAATAATGATACGGACTCACATACATACAGAAATGAATACGTATCTGTCAGTCTTGATATGCACAGTAATTGGGGTTTAAGTGCGCGAGGCTCGACCCAGTGAATACTCAGCAGAAATAAATACATACCTGTCATTGATATAGACAGTAATTGGATAAATAGAGAGATATATGTATGTATGTCAGGTAGATAGAGAGATGTGCTTTTGTTTCTGTGTATATGCATGTAAGTATATGTGAATATTCATTGGGTCGGACCTCGAATGTCTCTAACGAACTGTCCGTGTGCGTTATTGTGTGTGCGTTTGTTCTCGTTTGTGTGTTTGTATTTGTGTGAAGGGTAGGTAGGAGGGTCTTTATGTGCTTTTTTTTCTTTCTTTCTTTCTTTTCTTTTTTTTTTCTTTTTTGGGGGGGTGGTGTGTATCTGTGTGTTATGTGTCATTGTAATTTGTTCGTTTGTGTGGAGGGAGGTGGGGTCCTTATGTTTGTGTGCGTGTTGTCTGTCTGTCGTGTTAATGTTTGTCAGTCTGTATCTGTGTCTGCCTGCGTGAATTTATCTATTATTACTGCATTCCACGGACGTGTAAATCGCCAGACGCATCCATCGCACGCCACCCCTCCCATCCCACCCACGCAACCCCCTCCCACCCCACCCACGCCACCCCCTCCCACCCCACCACCCCACCCCTCCCACCCCACCCACCCCACCCACGCCACTCCCTCCACACAACTCCAGCAGTCTCCTTCTGCGCCTCCTGCAGGTCGCCGCCAGTGCCCCGGGGAGTCGCTGGCCCGCATGGAGCTGTTCGTGTTCCTCTCCGCCCTCCTGCAGAACTTCTCCTTCTCGATCCCCAAGGGCAAGGAGCTGCGGCTGGAGAAGAACCCGAAGGATTCCTTCCTCAATCTGCCGAAGGAGTTGGATATTGTTATTACCGAGCGACCCTGAGACGTGTGTGTGCGTGAGGGTGTGTGTGTGTGTGTGTGTGTGTGTGTGTGTGTGTGTGTGTGTGTGTGTGTGTGTGTGTGCATCCTTCCAGAACAGTGTTCAGTAAAAATAACAGTAATAATCGATCTTGCTTTTATAACATTGCATGCATCATTCAACAGCATATATATTTTTTCCACCTAGCCAGTTTTACTAGAACTGTCCGAGGCCCGACCCAATAAATATCCATATATATGTAAATGCATATACTCAGAAATAAGTACATATATGTCTATCTATCTGATAGATATACATTTACCTGTCTATCTGTCCGGTAGATATGCATGTGTAGACTGATAGATCTATGTATTTATTACTGTGTATATGAACATTCGTTGGGCCTCGTATAATTTTAACAAACCGGCGGACTGGCATTGTAATCACTAAAAATCTTTATTTTTCATATGACAGATAAGATAAGATAACGTAGTATCCCATTAGCCCTCATAATACTGCCTGGTCCTTATGTGATTAATTCCAGATATCGTAACAGTTCATTTTAAACAATATCCTCTTCCTACTTGGCGAAAAAAATAAGTTTTCTTCGCGATAATAAAGAAGGTTCTCTCAGACATTGTTTTGTCAATCTTGTCCTTTTGTGGGTGAAGGAAATATTCCCGAAGCGATGATGGTGATACTGATTATGATGATAATAACTATAAGATTGAAGATGATTGGTATTATCACTGATTAATAACATACCTCACGCTATATAAAACATGTGTGCCCTGTGTATCGAAGATTAGATACTGAACATCTTAGGCTAAAAGTTTCTTAACTGGAGACTGTGATAAGATGGAAGAAAGTGATATCTTTAACTCCTCAATTCTAAAACCACATAGAGGTTATAAATACACTATATATATGTATACACAGTACTTACCATACCCTGTACAGCCTGGTGTTTTTTTCATAATTCCTCTCATGTATAACGTTTGTTTAAACATTCATACCTATACAATAAAAGTATGTTCAGGATTAACGAAAACTAAGGTAGAGCCTAACAAATTGATAAGCAAAAGTTGAGGGAACTATTTTCCTCTCTCTTTAAAGATAACCTTGACAATGGAGAGAGTTCTTATCCAAATAAGTATCACAGATAACACAAGTACCAACCTAGCTGGAGTTATCATTAGCAAAGGGTATAAGAGGCAGTTGACATGAATAATTAACGAAGAAGGATATATACATATGAGTGTGTCTATGTATATGCACAGACGAACGCAAGGATGTAAGCAAATACACAGAATATGCGTGGTGGCTGTAAACAGGTCTCTGGGATCAGGAATGTGCATCATCATCACTATGTAGCATGACTGTGATCAGTGATACACATGTACCCTGAGAGGATGCATGTCTCGTCTGGTTTCTTTCTTCTTTTTCTTTTCTTTTTTTGTCTGTGTTTGTTTGTCTGCTCCTCTCTTTTTCTCATCTCGCTCTCTCTCTCTCTCGTTCGCTCTCTCTCTCTCTCGCTCTCTCTCTCTCGTTCGCTCTCGCTCTCTTTCTCTCTATCTCTCTCTCTCTCTCTCTCTCTCTCTCTCTCTCTCTCTCTCTCTCTCTCTCTCTCTCTCTCTCTCTCTCTCTCTCTCTCTCTCTCTCTCTCTCTCTCTCTCTCTCTCTCTCTCTCTCTCTCTCTCTCTCTCTCTCCCTCCTCCCTCCCTCCCCCCTCCCTCCCTCCCTCCCTCCCCCCCTCTCTCTCTCTCTCACTCTCTCTCATCACTAACAAAATATATATTTATATGAAGTAAGACGTGAATTAATGGTATCTGGCATCCCTGAGGCACTAAGGTATGCAAAGTTAGTCATAAACTATGTTTTATTTTTATTTATTTATTTTTTTAACCCGACCTCGCTTACAGCTTGTTTATTCAGTAAACTTGTATGAATTACCGATACTGATGATTTCCTCGTTTCAAGTGTTTATGCAAATATCTATAAACGAGGTGCAAATAGGTGCAATATCTGTGAAAGCGGGCATCTTAAAATAAAGGCAACATGCCCGAACAGCTTCTAAAAATAATAGTTCACAGGTATTCACCATCATAGCGGTATGTTGAAGATGTATAAGGATACATTTTTGCGAGCAAGTTAAACCAAGTTGCGATCGCTGACGTTTGGCATCGTTTGTTTACATTGATGACGTCATCGTGAGCGACTCTCCTACCAGAATCGTGTTCTTGTTTATGTTGTTGTTGTTTTAACTTGATCTTTATGCTCTTACAGCGGCCATTATTTTTATCTTTAACATTTATCACGATTGCGTTTAGTACTATCATTATCATTAGTTATTATTTTTATTCCCATCATTGCTGTTATTTCTTTATCATTATTTTTACTCTTGTTTTGTTATTGCCACTGTTGTTGGTATTATTGTTATTATTATAACCGTCATCATTTTTATCATTATAATTATTTCACTTTTAATCATTATTATCAACTTTATCATTATTACAATTATTGTTCGTATTATTATTACCATCGCCAGGTAAACTCGTAATTTAAAAAATAATAATTCCGGTGTCCCTCAAGGTATTGTCCTTGGATCGTTATTATTACTTGTTGTTATTAATATTATTATCACCATTATCATTATCATTATTATTACTTTTATTATTATTATTATCATTATTATCATAATCATAATTATCATATTACCATTATTATAATTATCATCATTATTACCACTATCATTATCATTATGATCATAATTGTTATATTCTCATTATTATCGTCATTATTATCATTATTACTATTATTATATGGTATAGAGCATTGATACAATACGTTAATTACATTCTCCGCTTCCATATGTTATTCTGTACCGCAAGGTCGATCAAAAATATCGTCAACTGAACCTATAAGAATAATGAAATATTTAGACTTGAATGAA